ATACCGTATTTCGCGCATTCCTCTCGAATGTCCTCAAGGATATCTGGAAAGAAGAACAGGTTACAACAGGTTACAAATGATTTCATCCAAATTCCGTCCCTTTCAATAACAAAAATTCAGCAACGACATCTATGGTCTAGCGAAATTTATGATATTCAAAGTTGGAGCCATATACACTCGCAGTAGTTAATTTAGTTCGTCAGACTCCTGTATAAGCAGAAAACATCTTCCTGAAGTTTTCAGCCTCCTAGCTTTTCTTGCTCCCGAGATAATTTTTCCTGCCAAAACTTTTACAGGGCCGTATGCGGGACTAGGCCTACATGAAAGCCGAACATGTAGCTTTTCCCATCGAACATGTAGCTGACAGCTTTCCCAGCGGTTCAATGCTACATCACATGATGGTGACTTTGGCATTTGTTCCTTTCCCACATAGATTTGCCAGCACAAGACCGAAGTATTTGGCTAGATTTATTTGTTTTAAGATGTCGTTGATGCACAGACACACACAGCCTCTCGAAAGTATGCGTTTTTGCATTGCACAGATGCAAAAAATGCATAAAAAGCAGCAACTCACCTTCATACTCTTCGTCATCCTTCAGTTCCTCTTCAGTGACCATGTTCATCAAGCAAAGCACCTCAGTGGGTGGTCCGGCCCCATGCGACAGATCTATCCCGGCCACTTGGATTTGAGGGAATGTATTCTGTACCACATTTGTGCGAGCATTTGCACATGATAATTGCACGACGAGATTTTTGTCGCCAAGTTGCATGCCATTTAAGCCAGCAATAGCCTGAAAAGCTTACACTTTCCTGGCAGTTGCATTTTCCCACCACAAAGGTCAATACTAGAAAAATACCTGTCCATGATCAAAAGTCCTGGGGAAGGTTATTTCAAAAATTGAGCCATTTCATTCAAAAGTAGCAAAAATGCTCAGGATATTCGCTACGAGGACCCCATACGAGGATGTTCACAAACGCCACTGAGCCACACACTTTCCATTAGTACCCACAGCCAATGCGATGTATGTGCGCTCTCTTTTAGTGATCGCCCGAGTGGTTATTTGATCCAGCGTAATGCTCACCAATATGCGACATCCGCCGGCTGTCAGCAAAACTAGGAACATGTCCAGCCCTGTGGATTGTAATTTGCCCAGGGGAAGCAATAACATCCTAAATATACGTCGAGCAGCTCTCGCCGTCGTAGATTATGCCGTTTTTCTCTCAGTAACTATGCTTCGCATGGATATGTCATGGACTGCAGCGCGCTGGCATTAAAGAAGTGGCTACGGCTCGATACGGGGAACGCTGTTCGAGGAACGGTTGCGTGGAGTGCTGTAAAGGGAAGCATACCTGGTCAGTTAACGATGGGTCCAGATATTCTGCAAAAGCGTATCCCTTTGAGACACCAGTGGACTGTTCCGTAACCAAATTAAACGCCTTGAGCTGCCCAAAGGAGGATAGAAGCTCCTTTACCTGAAAATATGAACCTCACAGAACGGTCGCTGCCTTATGCCACTGCTTGTGTGCTTAGGCACAAATCAGACACTGCGCTGCCTAGGTAGTAATATATTGTGATGAAAAAGTTGTGTGTGATTGAGGCTAGACTGCTTGGGGGCTAATTTAAGCATGAAATAGTGTAAAACGGCTTACTCGGACAGGCTGCTAAGCGCAATCAATTTCACAGGCCATTACTCTAAAATCTGAAACTCTGAAAAAGCAGC